AAAGCAGAAAAGCCTGAAAACACAACATATCTGTTCTCCATGAGTGCCTCCTTAGATTTGGTTTTAAAATTCTGAAGCCTTTGCCAGGTGGGTAATTAGCTGCAGAGATAAGAGGCCACCTATGGCAGTTACGTGTCTGCATCAGGTATGCGGGAGAGAACTATAAATTTCATTAGAGAGATACACATAGTTTGCTGGTCCACATGTCTCGCTTTTAGGAGATAGGAAGTTAAAAGGGGAATTTAACAGGAAGGAGCATGGCTTTTATCTCTCTGTCACCATCGATCATGATATTTTAGAGGTGAATGCTCAGAGGTGCTTGTGTCTGAGAGAGAGAATTTATAAAGCAGGGTATAAAGAAAGCCCTCTGGTGAGGGAGAATGCTATTCAGATCCATCCTGCTCTCAGGAGAAAGGTGCTTCATCATGATGTGTTCCTTATCCCTATGCCCCATAAACAGCGGGAGTCAAGAAACAGCAAGAGTGCCGCTGATGAATGCTAGAAGGAAGATTTTTAAACCAATATAGTACTAAAATAAGAAGGAACTCTAGGTACTGCTAGGGATTTTCTCTGGCAAAGGAAACGGGTGGGAAGGCGGGGTATTTGTTGGAGCTTCTGGGAGGTAGAGCTGTGCCTGGTCACAGAGAAAGCTCTTAGGGGACTAGAGGGACAGTGCCAGAGGGCCAGAGTCAAAGTAAGCAGACCAGCCACCCAAGGGTCAAACTGGCATGACCCAGGTAAGGAAAAANAGAGGCGAGGTATTTGTTGGAGCTTCTGAGAGGTAGAGCTGTGCCTGGTCACAGAGAAAGCTCTTAGGGGACTAGAGAGAGGGACAGTGCCAGAGGGCCAGAGTCAAAGTAAGCAGACCAGCCACCCAAGGGTCAAACTGGCATGACCCAGGTAAGGAAAAATGCCTAGGCAGAGTCAAGGGTTTGGAAAGGGAGTAAGAGGAAGGGGTCCAGGTAATTAATTCCCTGAAGAGCTGGGCCAAGGGCTAAGGGCGGAGAGTTCCATAGTGCAGCAGTGACATTTTCTAGGGTAGAAAAAGAACGATGACAAGCGCTTAGTGACTTCAGATAGCTGCCCTTTAAATCAGATAGTTATTCTGGGGGGGAGGCAGAGATGTAAATTAATGTGCTAGGCCCTCATCGTGTGGAGGATGTCAGGCCTGGTCTCTGACCTCAGGAAGTTCGCAAAGTTAATTGGAGAGATCATGCAAATTCACACAGGCCTCCTGCCAGAATGCAGGCTCTTTGCTCAAAGGAGGGCTTTGCTTCCAAGGTGCCCAGTAAATTTTTTATGTTGATGACAATTTTGGCTTTTTTAAGGCTTCAAAATTGAGTAAGTGACAATAAATTGTTATAATTTCCCTCAAAAAATAATTCCGGAGATGCATGGAATCTTACAATGGAAAATGAACATTTAGAAAGAGACTTAGAAATAACTCAATTGCTGATGTTATAAAAGAGGCTTCGTGAATTAAAAGCAGACTTTGGAGGGGAAAGGTAAGTTAATTTTCTCACGCTTTGAAGAAATGGTTCAAAATGTCTTGAAACCAAAGCTGTTTATTGTAGTTCCTCTGACCTAATCGACATTTGGTAAGATATGCAGTTTATTATCCAGTGAAAGAGAATGTCATATTCTTAAGTTCTTTATAGAGACTTTGGAACCCAGAAAGGACAAGCCTCACCCCACAACCCAGTCTGTTCAGCATCTCCACGTGCATATCCAACTGCTTCTTGACATGAATATGAAAATCATTCAAGATAATAGTAACACTTGAGTTGCAGAAGAAAAATTTAAGCCTGAGCAGAGCTTTCATGGCAGAAAGATGACAGGTCAATATTTATAATCCCTTGTTATCTGAGGTGGAGAGGTTAGGCAGCCTTCCTTAGAGACGAGGTACTGTACTCTTAGAAAAAAAGGGATGCGATGGTCTTAGAAAAGTTATGACAAGAAGGAGCAGGACATATTTTGTTGCGAGGCTGAGAATATAGAAGAGTGTTTAATACAGAAGAGGAGTTTTAGAGAGCAAAGAAAAAAGTTTGGGAGTATGAGTAAAACTCCTGTAGGGAAAAAATGATTTAACTTTTATTAAGACTGTATTTCCTGAACTTGCCCACACAACCCTTGTTTGTATAGCACCTATTAACCTCTTACAGAAGTAGTGCTGTGTGGATTACAGCTTGGGAAACCTTGGCAGAGCACTCAAGGATAGCAGGCTGTGAAGCATTCCACAGCGGCGCTGGTGCCAAGTCACGGTGAACTCAACTCTTACGGTATCTGAAGGGCGCTGCTTGGACAAGGAGGAGCCAGGTTCAGGGCCACCCAATTTGTTGGGTTGTTTTCATGGCCACTTCTTTTCAACTCAGCTAAATTGTGACCTCTGAAATGAGGGACAGTTGTAATTTCTTTACAATCTCTACAGCATTTGGCTTATTATTGAGCATATTAATAAATGCTAAATAAACATTTCTTTTTACTGAAGCTTGCGGTGAGCAAAAAAAATTTACAACTTAGTTATTTCTTTCCTTTTTCTGCCTGTGTTGGAGATTTATTTTCCATTTAGGTTTTTAAACCTAATGTTAAATACCCAAATGTGTTGGAGCTCATTGTCCATTTTTAATAATTTTGACTTACACCTTTTAATAGCTCGTGTGTCTGTGTATGTTCTAGCTTTGATAATTTTGATGAAGTGGGCCTAGGAAAAAACTCAAAAACGAATATTTGATATTGCTGATTGGAGAAGTACTTATCCTAATTATTAGAAATAAACAAGATAAAGAAAAAATAGTTGGGCAGATTTGAGATGTAGCTAAATCATTCATTTAAGAGTTAAATTTTTTTTCAAGTAAAAATTTAAAAATTAAAAGTATAAAATCTATTTTAATTTTTTGAGGAACCTCCACACTATTTTCTATAATGGTTGTACCAATCTGCATTCCTACCAACAGTGCAGGAAGGTTCCCTTTCTCTGCATCCTTGCCAGCACTTGCTGTTTGTTGTTTTATTGATGATAGCGATTCTGACAGGTGTGAGGTAATATCTCATTGTGGTTTTAATTTGCATCTTTCTGATGATTAGTGATGTTGAATATCTTTTCATAAGCCTATTGGCTATCTGGGAACATAACTGAAGAAACTCGAAACACTAATTGCANATATCTTTTCATAAGCCTATTGGCCATCTGGGAACATAACTGAAGAAACTCGAAACACTAATTGCAGCATTATTTACAATAGCCAAGATCTGTAAGCAACCAAACAGCCATCAGTAGATGAGTGGGTAAAAAAGCTGTGGTACATTTACACACTGGAATACTACACAGCCGTAAAAAGGACCTCTTACCTTTTGCAGCAGCATGGATGGATTCAAGGGTATTATGCTCAGTGAAATAAGTCAGTCAGAGATAGACAAGTACCACATGATTTCACTAATATGTGGAATCTAATGAACAAAACAAACAAACAAACAAAATAGAAACAGACTCATAGACAAAGAGAACAGAATGACAGCTGTCAGATGGGAGGGGAGTTGGGAGACTGAGTGAGAGGTGAAGGGATTAAGCGTACAAATTGGTAGTTGCAGGATAGCCACAGAGATGTCGATTACAGCATAGGGAATATAGTCAATAATATAGAAATAAATGGGTATGGGGCCAGGTGGCTACCAATATGTAAAGTAAATTATTTTCTAACCACTTTGCTGTACATATAAAACTAATACAGAATAATATTGAATGTCAACTGTAATTGATTAAAAAAATGTATAAAATATACACATTTGGCCAAAAAGTGTTATAACTATCAGGAAGTTATCCTTGAGAATTCTTTAATTAGCTTATATAATACAGTAAATGTGGTTTTGTGTATATGTAAGTATAAATGTATAATATATACAGAAGTATGTAGAATTTAACATTATAGGAATACAAATGAAAATATAATTTACAATATTTATTATTACACAAAAGATAAAGATTAAGAGACATGCATATATGTTTGAATATGCAGAAGACAAATGTAAATTATTATGTGATTCCACTGGGGCATATAAAAACAAAGATATAAAATAGTTGAAAATGTTAACTTTTGAGAGCGGTGCAGTTATGAATTGTACTTGATTTTTTAAAATGTTAATGCTATTTGTTATGTATTTATTAATATTCTTCAATGACAACATTTGTCTTCAGCTAAATACGAGAAAAAAAATAAGGGAACTGATTAAAAACTCCAGTCTCTGGATTGTTTGATATAATGTCCACCAACATTAACAGAGCTTATTTGGCCATTCTTAGGACAGAATTCCAACATTTATTGATGAGCTCTACCTCCTTTGATAGAGAAGTTTCACAGTGTAATATAAATCCAGACTGTTTGAATTGCATTTTGCTGGTCTATTTTTCTCACTATACAGATGTGGATACAGAGGCTCGGGAATATATTCTCATTAAAAGCACCCATACAGCCTTCCTCTCCTGGGAAAGATCCAGTGTCTTTGAGAGTCCTGGGCAGTCACACATATTAGGAATCTTTACTCCCACTATTGAGACTTATCTTGATACGCAGGCCTTAAAGCTCAGGTTTGACTAATATGGAGAATTGTGTTTGGTAAACCTCCACATGGAATGGAAATCTTCTCGTGCCCCTGTGCCCAGAAATCAGCTGAATATGCTCTGTTAGATTCTGGTTTCTCTTCCACTGACTTCTTTGCTGTAGTTTCCATGAAAACATTTGCTTACAAGCCTTCCTCCACTCAGGCTAAGAAGACAAGCAGTTGCTATCTAGACTAACTTCCCATCTACAGAGGAAAAAGAAAAACGAAAGAAAGGCTATTCAAGATTAGAAAAGCAAAACACCATATTATAAAGGCTTTGGTACACTTTTGTTTCTACTCTGAAGAAGCATGCCTGATTTTAGAGTCTAGAACTTCATAGTCACATCCCCTAGAGTATGTAGTTCACATTTTTAATTATTTCTAATTATTTTTTAATTATTTAGACTTCAAGGAGACAACCTGGCAGAAAGAACAGAAGAGACGTCACAAACACTTCATTCTCTAGATGAGAAAATCCTGGATTCTTTGAGTAAGTTTTAAACCCAACAATATCAACCTAGCTGCCTGTCGTATGTCCACCACTCCTATCAGGAGGTTAAGGGCACATGAGTGTGCATTCTGAGGAGCAGCCTCTTAATGTCTGTGCCTGTTTAAGGTCCAAAACAGGTCAGCTATAGGTTGGCTACTCCCAAAATGTTGTCGCCAATTCCAACTTGTTTTGGGAACTTTCTATTGCTTACTCCCATTCTCACATCATAGATCCCTTCACTCTTCCTGGGCAGAAGTATCAATATGAACCTTGATTTTGTTCCCTCTCTCACCTTTATATTGAACTGTTCTCAAAACATGTCAGTATCACTTCAGAATCTCCTCTCCAAGCCAGTCTCCTCTTCATTTTCCCTGCTGCTTCCTAGTCTGTGAAATTTTCTTCTTTCTCTGTCTAGTGTCACAGCCCCATTTTTACCTTAAATAGTATTTGTACTATCTCACCCCTCTTTAGTTCCTTATCTTTCTAAAAACAGCTGCTTATTTCACCCCCATTTTTTTATAGGACAAAATTCAAACTCCTTAACTTAGCATATTAAGTTCATGGCAGGGCACTTCAAAATGTTTACTGAATAAATACAGAAGCACGTGTAGTGCCACTACAGTGGCATCGAAGGTACATCACTGCTTTGTCATTCAGTGTCCTAGCAGGAAGCAGTCAGACATGCGGCTGGGATAGTTACAAGAGAAACTATAGGAAAATATTCTTTTATATCTGGATAGAGGAGGACTTCTTAAACAAGATGGAAAATTCTTAACTATGAAATAAAAAATCAGCTATAGAAAGTTAACTGTTCATCAAAGAAGGCCATAAAAAGTGAGGAGATAAGCCACAAAATAAGAAAATATATTTGAAATATATTTGTCACTGACCAACTATTCAGAATACATAAAGAGTATCTATAATTTAATAAAGGTCAAAACCAATAGAAGAATAAGCAACAGATATGAATTGACATTCCACAGAGGAGGAGAAACACAATTGGCCAATGAACATTTGAAAGATGCTTAACTCCTCTGGTAATCAAGGAAAAGCACATTAAGACCACAGAAAGATGCTGCTTTACAAACTTTTGTTTGCCATTAATTAAGAAATTTGGCAAAACCAAGTGCTAAAGACAGATGAAAGAGAAGTCATATACTACAGGTGGGAAATGAACAATTTTGAAAACTGTTGCATTATCTTAAAATCTTGAGCATTTATGTAATCTAAAACCTAGACACTCCACTTCTAGGAAAATAACTTAAGAGAAACAAGTCGTGTATATGAGTTGTGAACAACCTTTCTTAGTATGCCCCTAGACAGGAAAATGGATAGACACTGTGGAATTGTTACACGGTAGGAAATTGAATGCATTTCAACTACACATAAGATGGATGAAACCAATGAAATGCTAATAAATATTAACAACTGTTTCTTTGAAAAGAGAAAGCCCTGATTTATAGAGATTGATCGTTTCCATGCTGTAGGTGCTCCCACTGAAGTTTAACTCAAGTAACCAATCTGAAATGGCAGTTAGGTCTCCCAATTCATATGTGTGGGTTGTAGCTCACAACAGCTGAATAAATCTTAAAAGCACGGTGTTGATTGAACAAAAGCAAGTCATAGAATGACATTTTTGCAAAAGCTCAAAACTAAGTAATATGTTCTTAAGAAGACGTACATAAGTGATAAAACTGTATTTAAAGAAAGGAATGAAAAGCTCAGAATGGTGGTTATTGTCAGTGGGGGAAGCATGGAGGTGGGAAAAGGAAGTTGCTCATAGGTATACAAAGATTATTGGAAAGTTCTAATTCTTTCTTTTTTTTTTTTTAATCTATCTTTATTGATTTCAGAGAGAGGAAAGGAGAGGGAGAGAGAGAGAGAAACATCAATGATGAGAGAGTCACTGATGGGCTGCTTAGCCCGCAACCGGGGCATGTGCCCTGACCGGGAATTGAACCTGCTGAGCCACGCCCGGCCGGGCTGGAAAGTTCTAATTCTTAAGTTAGGTGGTGGTTGGGGTTGTTGATTTTATCATGTTTTGCTCGATACATTAAAATGGAACACTTGCCATCATTTAATGATATGCACTCTTCTCCAAACTTTTCAATACTTCCTATCCCATTTAAAAGAAAGAACACAAAATGGTAATTCTATTTTGTGGCCAGGAAAGAAAAAAGAAGACAGTTGATGGGTAAAACAAATAAACATAAAATTACAAACCAGTAAAAGAACATTAAATATGCCCCAACAATTAACTGAATAATATACTAAAAGAAAGTTTGCTCTATCCAAGATAACAGCAGCCCTTGCACTTCCTAACTTCATTGTGTTCTACATTAGAAATTCTTAACGTTTTTCATAGGTGGTCTTTACATTCTATTTTAACTCATAAACACTGTGATTTTTCAACAACCAGTTCAGTCACCTTAATAATCTCATAATAGGCTTGTATGTCAGAGCTAAGAAATATGTGACTGTAATTTATTCATTTTTTTATTAAAATAGATGCTTTACCTGGGACTGAAGAAGCATTAATGGAGGATGGTGGAGAATTTGAAATAGCATCTAAATTAACAGGACCTGTAAGTATATTCATTTACTTTTTTTTTAATCTCTAAAACTAATTTATTTCACTAATAAGAAAATCTAATAGAAATAGGAAGGACTAGGAAACAATATTCTTTACATTGAAAAATATTTCAGATATACACCCAATGTTTCCCTCACAGCCATGCAGAGTGCTTATTTCAGTAGGCGGCCAACTTGATTACAGGTGTACAGCAAGGCTGTGCTAAAGTCAGCAGTTATGGACGATTGGAATGAGGTGGGAGACACTAAATTCTGCTATTAACACCTGTTTGCTTGTGCACATGAACATTCTATAAGATTGAGTTGCCATCTTAAACTTCAATAAGCTTACACCTATCTTGATAGAAAAATAAATGTTTTACATATCCAGAAAGTTTACATATAACTTAAACATGCTATTATTAGTTGTGAAGTCTTTGTGAGATTTTTGTTAAACTGTATCTCTTCAGTAGAGTATATTGGGGAAAAAACAATAGGTTTAAGATTTTCAGTGCAATATAATGTTGAAAGAATAAGTACCAGATAACTGAACTCTACATACAAATTCTAAATACATTTATAAAAGATTCCGAGTTATTATAAAAATGAATATGCCATTTTGCATCATCCTAAACTTAATACTTAGACTGAGTTTATATGCTACAATATTCTCTGTGTTGGTTTGCTGGGGCTGCCATAAAGAGCAGAATTTTATTGTCTCACAATGCTGGAGGCCGAAGTCTGAGACCCAAGTGTTGTAAGGGTTGGTTTCTTCTGAGGCCTCTTGGCTCGCAGATGGTCATCCTCTCCCTGTACCTTCACATCATCATCCCTCTGTCCATGTCCATGTCCTGATCTCCTCTCCTTTAATAACACTAATCATATTGGATTAAGACCCATCCTAATTATCTCATTTAACTTAATTACCTATTTAAAAACTTTGTCTCCAAATAGTCATATTCTGAAGAACTGGAGGTTAGGACGTCAATGTATGAATTTTGATGAGGCATAATTCAGCCTATAACACTCTCTGATGAGATTACAGTTTGGTTTAAGGCGCCACATTTTCCAATGGATTTCATAATAAAAAATTTAAAAAATTACTGATGAAACTGTATCTTCGTTTATATGTCACTTTCTCATTAAAGTTTCCCTGACCCTATTTAAAACTTCAAAGTTGTTTTCTTTATTTTTCTATATAGATCTTAGCACCTTCTAATATACTATGTAATATACTTGTTTTGCTTATGGTTCGTCTCCTCCCGCATAATATAAGGTCTATGAGAGTAAGAATTATTGTGCATTTTTTTCACTTCTGTATCCCTAGAAAATTGCCTATACATAGTAGACACACAGTACATATATATTGAATAAATAAAATTTTTATCAATTTTTCATCATGACATAGGAATATATTTTTCTTTATTATAAAATGGTAGTCTTAGAAATTGAAAGAACCATGGCGCCATCTAATTGAGCCTTTCCTCTCCCTTACCTCAGTATTCTGAGCTGCTTACCCACTTTCGTCCACGGTGAGGATATTCATTTTATAGAGAAACAGAAAATCAGAGAAGCTTAGCAACAGGACTAAGGTCCCAAAGCTAAAAGGGCGAGGAGGTCAGGCGTTGAGTGCTAGTGAATTTCCCTTTTATTGCACATCTCTGGTATTCCTGATGCTTTCCTGTTTCTTTCAGAAGTTTATTCCTCTTTGTTAGACATTTTCTCATATTCCTCACAGCCACCTGTAACCAGTGGTCTTAGTTCTGTTCCTTGGATAATAGCCTGAGTCCAGTCCTCCTTCCTCTTAACTGATCACATATTAGAAGCAGTTAGCATGTCCTATTTGAGACCTTTGCAGCCAAAACACAATCTGTTCCTTCAACCAATTCTTATATTGTGTAGTTTGCAAAAGATTTCAGCAATTTTGATTCTTTCCTTGAATATATTCTTGTTTGCCAAGTCCCCTGTAAAGTAAGGGTTATGTCACAACCAAACCCAGGGCTCCAAGTAATGTTCTCACATCAGAGACTATAATGGGGCATGTACTTGATGCAAATATTATTTTTGGAGTATGACCTGGCATTGTACTAACATTTTTTTAAAGGAACTTTCTGACATTTATGAACTTCAGTATATTTCCATAATCTCACGATGATAAAAACATGTCATCATTCAGGCTGTGATAATCTGTCATTCATCACTTTTTGTGAAGTTTTTTTTATCATCTGTGAATTCCACCAAAACCCATATTTCTTCCTCATATCTAAAAGGATACAGTTAGATTCTTTTTCTAATCACTTTCTAAAATCCAGGTATATCCATTCACAGTATTTGGCTTACTTAATTATACCTAACAACCCAAGGAGGAGGGAAAATTAAGCTTTTTTGGTCAAACTTTTCTTGAGTTATTACAAACTGGCTCTTAAAGATTTTTGCTTTCTTTTTACGGTGTTCACATAGTGCTCTTCTATGTAGAAATTTGTTCTAAGTCAGTGTTGCTTGTTTTCATTTATTAATGATTAAATTTTGAATTCTTGAAGATTTTACAATTCTATTTAATTTCAAGTTAATGCTTTAATTCTTCTTGGAAATATGTGGGATATAAAAGATACAGGGGTAAATTAATACCAGGGTCCTGAACATAATTTCTAGTTGATAGCTGCTTTTATTAAAAAGAAAACATGGGTTTTTAAAAATTTAGATCAGATTGATGACATTTTAGATGCAAATACCCCAAAACATACTTCTATAATATTTCTTAGGAATGTATTTTTGGTAAATCAAGAAGACAATTATAGCTTTATCTAGATATGAATGGAGAATTGGAACTAAACAGAACTTTTTTCTTTATTACCGTAAGAAACGTAAAATTTGCTTTGAAATTTTGAGTCAGATATTGCAAAAATATAAACATGCCACAAATGTTGAAAACCATTTAGAGTAGTTTCAACACATGCTGTCTCTATTTGCCAACTTTCCATGCTGGGTATTGGATATTAATAAGTGGGTAGCAGAATCTTGGAAACTTTTCCCCTAGTGGCTTCACCTGTGTTTAAAATACTTCACGAATATTTTGTGAATATTTGAAGTGAAGTAAAGGCAACATTTAGATTTAGATTTTTATCATCTCCCTAATAAGCAAGTCATTCTTTTGGAATTTCCCTCTTCCCCTCCTCCTTCTGTGTTCTGGAATGTCTCTTAATATATCCACAGCTGTGAAGATTAAAACTGAATTTGTTAGATAAATCTACTTGTTAAAAATGAACGAACAACAGGAAAATCTTAGGAAGAAAGTACCAAGAAGCAGATATTGATTATAACCTTTTAGTTCATAAATGTAGTACATATTTTTTCCTAGATTAATGATCCATAAAGACATATCAGTGATATTTTAATTGCACAATTCTTATGGCATTCTTAATCTTAAAAATTCTGTATTGTTTCTATTAAACAAACATACGAGCATAATGGGAAAATGAAAACATAATTACGAAAGACATTTGATGTTCAATATCTTACTTTTTTCTTTTTTCTTTGTAAATCTGCTGTTTATTGTATTTATTGGCCAGCACTGACTAGCCCATCATAAGCAGACTCTTTTCTTTCTTGTTTATTGAATTGATTGGGGTAACATTGGTTAGTAAAGTTATATAGGTTTCAGGCATACAGTTCTATAATACACCATCTGCATATAGTATTTATACTATTTTGTGTGTTCACTACCCCGAGCCAAGTCTCCTTTCATCGCCATTTATTCCCCCTTTACCTTCTTTTCTCTTCTCCTACCTCCCTTTCCCTCTGCTAATTACCATATTTTGTCTGTGTCCATTGACTTTTGTTTTGTTTTTATTGCTTAATTCCTTCACCTTTTCCACACTGTCCCCCAATGCCCCTCTTGTCTGACAGCTGTCAATTTGTTCTCTGTGTCTATGAGTCTGTTTCTATTTTGTTGGTTAGTTTATTTTATTCATTAGATTCCACATGTAAGTGAAATCATATGGTACTTGTCTTTCTCTGACTGGCTTATTTCACTTAGCATAACACTCTCTTGGTCCATTCATGCTGTCGCAATGATAAGATTCCTTCCTTTTTACAGCTAAGTGGTATTCCTTTGTGTGTAAATGTACCACAGGTTTTTTATCCAGTCATCTACTGATGGGCACTTGGACTGATAAGCTGACTCTCTTAAGACTTTATGTAACTGGCCATCATTAAAGTAGAAGAAAAGTTAAAAGGACTCCTTTAAGGAAAGGTTTTCTAAAGTACCTGGAGTTTCTAAGAGTTTTATTTTCAATACATTTTCCTTCTGAAGAGCTTTATCTATTTGAGGAGAGATTTACAACTAACTAGAATGATAGTAGTAATAATGATAATGAAATCACATATTTGTATGGTACTTTTTAATTGCTGAGCATTTTCATGTATTTAATACCAATTGTCTCTAAATTTTGCAATTCCTGAGACTTATCTCTGAGGCTTGCCATCCTTTCTGTGAAACAAATACTACTCTAAGTTTGAGGTGAGCATACTGAGCTGCCAGGAGATGTGGTAACTTGTCCCAGGTCACATAAATGGGGAAAAGCCAAAACTCACATTTCCCAGTGCCTAAACTCTCTTTCATAGAATTTGTTACGTTCCATACAATTATTAAGGCAATGAGGCCACTGTTAAATTGGACATGTAATATAGAAGAGAGGACATTTTCAGTAGCCTATATCAAAGATAGAATTATTCATTAGGTTAATTAGATAGTGAAAAAGTAGAAGTTTGAGGGACTGGATCAAAAGACAGGCATATTTTTATGAGAGGAAGGTATCAGTAAGTTTGGAGCATGAAAGACTAGTCTTGTGTGGGTCCTTCACAATTGCAGGAGTCCAAGAAACCAGGCTGGCATGACAAGAAGGGGACCTTAAAATTGGGAGGGTACTCAGAAGGAAAATGAAAAAGAAAATAATACATGTCTCGGAATAATTTCCTGTGGCAGACTTGATCCAAATTTTAGTCATAGGTGATT